GACCCCGGTGGGCATCCATGGCCCGTCCACTTCCACATGGCACGTGTCTCTACGCTGTTGCTCTGAGCACCCGAGGCACTCAGGATGGAGATTCTGAGGGCCTGTCTCTGAGCCCCCTTCTTCCCCCACCTCAGGATGGGGGCCACTGTTTTTGTGCAGCCTCTAGACCTGGTGAAGAACCGAATGCAGCTGAGTGGGGAAGGGGCCAAGACCCGGGAATACAAGACTAGCTTCCACGCCCTCACCAGCATCCTGAGGGCTGAAGGGCTTCGAGGCATCTACACAGGGTAATTCCAGGGCTGGGGACCTGAGAGCTGGAGGCCTGGCCTTTGGGGAAATGAAGGGGGCAGACGCTGTAGGTGAGGCATGGGGACTGGGCATCAGACCCTGGCAGCTGTGTGGCACCATGCCCAGCTCTTCTCGTTGGAGCTGTTAGAAGGAAGGGCCAAAGAAGGGGTTTCCCCTTTCCCATTGGGCCTTGATACTTGAGTTCCTAATGTGCTTTCTCCTTCCCTCAGGCTGTCTGCTGGCCTCCTACGTCAGGCGACCTACACAACAACCCGCCTTGGCATTTACACTGTTCTCTTTGAGGGCCTGACTGGGGCAGATGGGACACCCCCTGGCTTCTTGCTGAAGGCCGTGATTGGTATGACCGCAGGTGCCACAGGAGCCTTTGTGGGAACACCTGCTGAAGTGGCCCTGATTCGAATGACAGCTGATGGTCGGTATGTCATGCCTAAATCTTACCTAAGAATCTAGGACCCCAGACTCTCTCTAGGGACCATTGGCTTGGGAAAAGCAGTGAATTGGCAGTCTGGAGACACAGGTTCTAGTTCCACTACTTCCAGTCTAATTTTGGGCAAGTCAGTTTATTTCTCTGGACTCAGTGTTTTCAACTATAAAAGAGGGGAATGATGGTTCTGACTCTGAAGTACTGGGGTTCTTTGTAATGCAAAGATAGAATTACCACTGGGTAATTCTTGGTCCTTTCCTTCATGACCTTGGCTCTTTCCAGATCCTCTCTCCTGCCCTTCCCTCCCATTCTTAACCTCATTCACTCTTTGCAGGTTGCCATTGGATCAGCGTAGAGGCTACAAGAACGTTTTTAATGCACTCTTGAGGATTGTCAAAGAAGAGGGGGTCCTCACCCTTTGGAGGGTGAGTGGAAGAGGTTTGATGATAAGGGAGAAAATGGGAGAGGGAGGCGGGGCTGATACATTGCTTTTTTTTCCCTCTTAATGCTAGGGTTGTATCCCTACCATGGCTAGAGCTGTTGTTGTCAATGCTGCCCAGCTTGCTTCCTATTCACAGTCTAAACAGTTTCTCTTGGATTCAGGTGAGTCCCAGACCTTCCCCACCCACCTGAACATCTGGTCCCCAGTCCATGCTGCTCCAGCCATTCCAAGGGTTTAAACTGTTTTCTCTTTCTCCTGCCACTGTAGGTCACTTCTCTGACAACATCTTCTGTCATTTCTGTGCCAGTATGATCAGTGGGCTGGTCACCACAGCAGCTTCTATGCCTGTGGACATTGTTAAAACCAGGTGGGCTCAAGGTCTCTAAGGCAATAGCAGGGGGATGTCTGGGTTTTCACATATGCACTTAACATTGTTCAGATGGAGGAGATGATAGCTCATTAGGACAGCAAACCAGGCATACCATTTTTTGAGCTCTGGATTTGGAGTCAAGAAGACCTAGTCTCTTTTCTTCATTTTTCCTCATCTGTAATATGGTGGAATGAAGCTAGAAAACTTTAAAGGGCTCTTCTAGTTATGAATCCACGATAAAGATTGTAAGCCTTGGTCCCATTCTATCCCATCCAGGCCCCAGCTTTCTCCACAGCTCTAACCTGTTATTCACCTCTTCTTGTGTTTACCACAGGATCCAGAATATGCGAACAATTGATGGGAAGCCCGAGTATAAGAATGGATTGGTGAGAATTTGGGGAATTGAGGGAAGTTATTCACCTATCTCTTCATTCAACATTTAATAAGCAAATATTATGTAAAGTATTTGGCCTGTATTCGTCCATGAACTAAGGCCTGAGTCTTTGTACTTGGGTCTCTTGGTTGGGAGGAACAGTGTGGGTGGGAAGAGGTTGGGGTACCACTCATCCCCTAAGCGCACCCCTTGTTGCTTGACAGGATGTGTTGGTGAAGGTCATTCGATATGAAGGATTCTTCAGCCTCTGGAAGGGATTCACTCCTTACTATGCCCGACTTGGCCCCCATACTGTCCTCACTTTTATCTTCTTGGAGCAGATGAACAAAGCCTACAAGAAGTTCTTTCTCAGTGGTTGAGGAGCCCCAAGGGTGCCTGCGGACCGGGAGGACATGGCTCCCAGGAATAGGGATCTGAGGAGTTTCTGCCACCCCACGCCCCCTGAGCTTCAGTCCTCCCGGCCCTTACTATACATTCACCTCCCAAAGGGGTTATCTGGATTCTGCCCCCCTCAGCCTCCCATTCTATTTATTTCCCCCAACTCCTTCACTCTTCCTCTCCCCACTCATGTGGTTTCTCCTTATATAAAGGACTTTGATCTGTCCCCTGCTCCAGCTTGGACTCTGCTTCCCTTTTCCTGTGGCTTCTAGATTCCACCCAAAAGCCTGGGACTTGTCATCATTACTCTTGGCACTTCCACCCCAGCAATGTCTCGTGGAGGAGGGGGGAGGGCAAGGAGATGCTAGCAGAAGCAACAGCTTGGATGGTTTTAAGTTCCATAGTACAACTGGACACCTAGGAATGATGTTCCTTGGCTGATAGAGTATTTTTGCTTGCTTCCCAAGCAGAGAAACCAAGTAGGAGAGGAAAAAAAGGAAGGAAGCAGAAGAGCTAGAACAGAGGAGAGTGCCTGTGGTAAAGTAGAATACTTCTCTCAGTACCCATCCCCAGCAGAGGGCCTAGTAAATGCCTAGTAAGAGACGGGATGGGGGCAGCTAGGTGACGAAGTGGATAGATCACCAGCCCTGGAGTCAGGAGGACCTGAGTTCAACTCTAGCCTCAGACATGTAACACTTACTAGCTGTGTGATTTTGGGCAGGTCACTTAACCCCAATTGCCTCACAAAAAAAAGAGAGGGTTGAAATTTGGTATCTGATCAAGACCAGGGCCTCTCCACACTCCACATGTTCCCACATTTCTGTCATTACAAGTGACAGTCATAAGGAAGCGAGAAGTGTTTGCCTCTGTATGTGCTTGGGTGCTCTATCCTCCCTTAGCCTGGGGACAGAGGGGCTGCTTTTATTGGGTTCCTGGAGTACAAGTTGTCCATGCCTTTTTTTTTTTAATCTTGAAAATGATGGTGAAAATACATGATGATTTTATGAAAATATATTTAATTATAGTAAGGGACTTGTCATTACTTCAGCCGTTTTTCTGGGGTCATGGAAACATTCTGCAGTTCACATATTCCCTGTTTGTGTTGGGAGCTGGGGTGGGAAGTAGATGACCCTTGAAAGAACTGAAACCCGGTTGCTACAAGGAAGAATGTGGGAGACAAACTGACTTTCCAGTCTGAAGGGAGGGTGGATGGGACAAGTGAGCAATATTATTAGGGTCAGTGAATGGGGATCAGAACTTGTAGTAAGCACTGATGAACACCTGCCTCTTTGGAGACTGAGACAAATTGCTGGGAGTGGGGAACCCTTGATAATCTATTCAGGGAGATAATGAGCAGCATCAGGGACTCAAATCCAACTCTGTAAATTGGTTAGAATTTATAAAGATGAAGGAAAGAGGAGAAAGACAAAATGTGTTTCAGTAACAAGGAAGTGGCTAACCTAGCTATTTGGTTGCAGGGGTGGGAAGGGTTGTTTAGGAGAGCAAAAGACTAAAGTCCAACAGAAAGATCGTTGGATTTGGAGTCAGGGTCAGGTTTCAGAGTCCACCTTTGCTGCTTACTCTCTTGGGCAAGTCACTGGGCCTAGGGTTTCTTCATTATTAGATGTCTTAAGCTGGAGAGGTTGAGTTGAGGTCAAGTTGCCCAAGTTTACGTCTAGACTCACTCTGCTGCTAGGTTGTGATTGTCAACATTTTAATGGTGTGAGCAAATCAAAGTAATGGAATCAGTTCTGGAAGGGATCTTTGAGCACATGCAATTCAACACTCATTTTATAGAGGAGGAAATTGAGACCTAGACAGAGAAAGTAAGCTCCACAGTCACACAGTGGCGAAGCAGGCACTAGAATCCAAGTTTGTTGATCCCAGGACTGTGCTTTTGTTACCTTTGCACCATATGGGCACTTTGATGGGACCGGAATCTTTCCCTGGGCCTAATACCTTCTTTTTTTTAATGTGTATTTGGAGGAGAGCTCAAGCAAGTGACTGCTTTCACTCCGCTATCTTGGCTCCCCCCCGCCCCAGTCTAATGCCTTCTTAAGATCCGCTTTAAGATGGAGATATGGAACAGTAGGCTCCTCATAGACCAGGAAGGGTAAAGAAGCCCAAAGTGTGGTAAAGGAACAGTCCCAACCTAAAATCGAACAAACCGCCTTGGCATTGGGGAAGGAGAGTATATATTCCACTGACCTGTTTTCTGAGTTAAAAACAAAGCATAAGATTAAAACTAGCTGTGTAACCTCAAGCACATTACTTGATCTCAGGGTGTCAGTTTTCACATCTGTAAAATGAGGGGATTGGACTCCGTGATCTTACAGGCTCCTAGTTCTGATGTTCTTACTTGTTATTAGTAACATGAGACAAAGCATTCTATGCTATGGCCAGTTGGTAAAGAGGTAAGGTAAATGGACATAAAAGATAAAACTGTGGGGTAACATCTTTTGGCCTTTTATATTAAAGCTGTAAAGGATAAACATTTGTTGATTTTTTTGCAGTTGCAAAATGTGAAGGTGCAAATGTGGATGTGATCATTGGCTCCTTAACCCATATGCAAACTAAAGTTAACAAAAGGTGATCATTGAAGGGTCTTTAAGAATGCAGAAGAGAGGACAATAATTTTTTAAAACCTCTGACTTGAACCTGGTGCAACATTCCATAGTAAAGGGAGTTTGATGTTTTGAGCCTGCATGACTTCGAGGAAGGTATTTCTTTTGGCATTAAAAAGTAAAGTCAAGTAGAGGTGGGTGGAAGGTTTGGGGAGATTATGATTTGTCTGGATTTTGAATTTTTGAGTTTGAAGTGATGGGGCATCCAAGAAGAGATGTATTGAAAGCAGTTGGAGATGTGGGGCTGGATCTCAGGAGACAGTTTTGGGCTGAAATTCTAGATATTTGTTCTGTCTGTGCTAGGTGCTGGGAGAGGCACAGTTGGTCAGGAAAGAGGATATCTCAGGGAAAGGAGAAAGGTCTGTTGGGACTCATTTGGGAAGGTAATGGGAGGAGAGAGTCTTTCCAGGATATAAAATGTTCTGAGATTTTAGGGGAATAGGAAGTTAGTACTGGAGGACCCTAGCATTCTAGGGGAACAGTCTCCTACTTATTTCTTCTCCCCCAAAGGATTCTACTTGGTAGGGGTGATACCCCAGCCTATCCCACCAAGACACTGTGGTGTGGAGGAAAGAGCATCAAGAGAGTTCTGTGGTTCAAACTTCAGAAAACTAAACTTTTCTGCAATTAAAAAAAATGTTAAAACGTGTAACCTAGAAATTCAGTCTTTTTCCTCCTTATGCTGTGTCTCCATTTTATTCATATCTACTTCCTCCAATGCTTCCCCCTTATCTCCGGATTAGTCTTCTTTCCCACCATCGTTGGTGCTTGCTTTGTTACCCACTTGAAACCAGCCCCATCTCCAGCTGCTTTCAGGACATCTCTTTTTGAATGTCCCATCCCACTTCAAACTCAAAGTCTGTGATGGGGAGAGGGAATGTGGTAATGTACATCCTTCTGCCTCACCAGTATATCTTACCACCCCCAAGACCTAAAATCTTTCTCCCCCACCCCTGCCCAATACACACAATAAGAACTGATTACTAGAAGAAATTTTTATTATGGATTCGTATCCTAGATTTCAGAAGAGTATGCCACATCCACACTCTTTCCCAGGTCATTTAGGGTGCTAGATTCTGTCTAGGAACCTGAGCATGACAGGGTTTGTTTATAGAAGCACTTCTCAGAGGCTGTGGCCTGAATACCTGATGCTGACTGACCCAAGCAGGTCTTCCCCTCGACCCAGGCTTATGGCAGATGGTTTCCTCTTCAGAGTCAGAGGTCCCACTCGGCCATTGGACTGTACCCACAGAAAGAGTCTAGTGCGGAAGGAGGGTATTAATCCCTCAAGATAAAGGAGGCAAGCTCTAGGGACTATCACCTCCTTCCCCTTAAGGAGTTCAAGGTGGGCAGTGGCCTGTGGTTTGGGAATGTCCTCCATAAAGGCATGGGTCCTTGGCAGATGAGGTGGGGGCTGGGCTAGAGCTAAGAAGAGAATGAGAACAATGGAAGAGACCAGAACCCAAGCTATTCCAAAGATGTAGAACCTCAGAGAGAGAAGGCAGCAGGAGATGGAAAGGGGAGAGGAATCGCTGGGATCACCTAAGCTTCCTAGAGCTTCATTTGGTGGGAGAATATTGGAATTCGGGAGTGTTAAAGTTGAAGAGGGACTGGGGAAGGTGACAGGCAGGGAAGAAGTATGTACAATGGAATTTGTGGTTGGAAACGTGACAAGTTCTGGGGTGGTTTGGAGCATGGTTTTTTCTGAGGTTACTGGGAATGTGGCGGCTTCTAGGGAGGTTGGGAACCTGGTTGTTTCCAGATTGTCTGTGAATGTAGTGGGTTCTGGAGTAACTTGGATTGTGGTAGCTTCTGAGGAGATAAAGAACGTAGTGAGTTCTGGCATTGTTGGAAACACGGTAGTTTCTGGGCTGTTAAGTAATGTGGTTGTTGAGCTTTGGGTAGTTGGGAATGTGGTATTTTCTGGGCTGATCTGAAGTGTGGTAGTTTCTGAGGAGATCAGGAACCTAGTGAGTTCTGGCATTGTTGGGAACACAGCTGTTTCTGGGTTGTTAAGGAATATGGTGGACCCTCGGGGATTTGGGAATGTTGTTTTTTCTAAGGTTACTGGGAATGTGATAGCTTCTGGAGAGGCTGGGAACCTGGCTGTTTCCAGGTTCTCTGAGAATACAGTGGGTTCTAGGGTGATCTGGAGTGTGGTAGCTTCTGAGGTCAGGAATTTAGTGAATTCTGGCATTGTTGGGAACAAAGTTGTTTCTGAGCTGTTAAGGAATATGATGGACCTTCGGGTATTTGGGAATGTGTTTTTTTCTGAAGTTATTGGGGATAGGGTGAGTTCTATCCTGGGCTTTTTTGATCTTTTAAGGACTGTGGAATGCTCCAGGGAGATGGTGGTTGGAATAGTAGTAGTTTCAGGTTCTGGGACCCCTTTCACAGTTAGCCCATCATACCCATCATAGCTGTCATAATCATAATCCCCACTGATGGGGCAGTTCGCAGAGAAGGTGTAGACAGGTGTTCCAGAGGGAACGTCACACTGTACGCTCTTCACATCTGGAGTCATGACCTTGACATCCAAGCCTTCCTTCCAGAGGTAGACATTACCCTGATTTTCCTGTAGCCAGTGACGTAGGTATTGGAGTTCACAGTTGCAGTTCCATGGATTGGAATGGAGGAAGACATAAGGCAGGAGATTGTTCCCAAAGAAGCCAGAGGGAAGGACAGAGAGCAGGTTATTCTGTAGGAAGAGGGTGTTTAAATTATCAAGATCTGCCAGCAGGTCTGCTGACAGTTGTTCCAAGTAATTGTTTGCCAGATCCAACTTCTGGAGTTTGGATGCTCCTTTCAGAAACTTTGGGGGCAGACTCCTCAGCTTGTTGCCTCGAAGGTAGAGGTTCTCTAAGGAATCCAGACCAGCCAGGGTTTCTAGAGACAGAGACTTTAGGGCATTTCTGGAGAGGTCAAGCGATGTGAGAGAGGGGAGAGAGTACCTTAGTTGGGGAAGGGTCTGTAGGTTATTATCAGAGAGATCCAGGATTGAGAGGAGTGGAAGTTTCTCATCTGCCTTCAGGACACTCATATTATTTTTAGCTAAGTTGAGCTCAGTGAGTTGGCTTAGAAGACTGAGAGAAGAAGTAGAGAAGGATTGCAGGCCATTATTCTGAAGGAGGAGGATGGCAGTGTCTGGTGGCAGCTTCAGTGGCACAGACTTCAGACCAAGGGATTCACAGTTGGTTTCCAGCTTGCTAGCCACTTTATGGGTCTCACAGGGAGTTTGGGAATGGGAGGTACACAGGAGGAGGAGGAAGAGGAAGACTAAGAGTAGCATGGGGTCCTGTGGAAGGGGAAAAGAGGATGTGGTGATTCCTTCCCTATTCACATTCACATATCCTTTCACATTCCAGATTCCAGAAGAACCCATGACCAGACCCACCCGGTCTTCAGACTTTTCACCTCTCCCCTTCTCAGGCTCCTAATTCCCTTCTCCTTCCCATCTGCTGCTGGGCAAAGATATTTCCTAGTCTCTCACTTCTTATTCCCCTGTGTTTGATCCTTCCAGAGACTCAGGTGTCCAGCCTCTCAGCCCCATAGCCTCTCCAGGACCCAGATGTCTGGCCCTAAGTCTTTCCATACTATTTCCTTAACCCCACTAGCCCTCTTGTTTCTTTCCAGATCCTAGTATCCACCACTTTAGTCAACTGGCTGTTTGTTACTACCACTACCCTCAATCCACCAGACTGAAAAATCCATCCCTCCTCAGCCCCAGCTAGGTCAACACTGCTTTCCAGTCCTCAGGTATGACCTTTCTCTCCCACTACTCACCATTTCCCTTGAGCTCCTCCAATTCATAGTTTCTGCCAGGAGCAATATGCCTCTATCTGCTCACCCTATAGAGAGGCGAGATGCCTGGCTTTGGGCAAGAACAGGAAGGTGGGGGAAGAGAGAGGGGAGGAAATGGTGGCCTGATAGGAGCCCTGGGTTTTCCAAAGGAGGGGGGAATCCAGACAGAACCCTTATCATCTACCCTCACAGCTTCCCTCCCCCATATCCGCCATTCCCCCAACCCTTTCCTTAGAGTTCTGAGTCCATGGGGCCTATATCTGGGAAGTGAGGGGTAAGCAGTGGAGACAGTGGGCATTATTGTAAGGGTGGCTTTATTTAGTTAGGCAGCTACCAGTTTTCCTTGGCACAAGACTTCTTCACCTGTTTTTTAATGGTAAGAGCTACTTCATTTACCACTGTTTCTACAAGGAATTATTTTAAATAAACACACACACAAACACATACATACACAGAGGCTGAGGAGTTCCTCTACTACTGCCATAAGGTTGAAAGACCATCATGTTGAACTCAGAGGGGTTGGAGGCACCTAAAGGTTACCACAAGTCAAGACAAGTTGTGTGGGGTACTCTCTTGGGTAAATCCTCACCCATAGATAAATTAGAAGGTAATGATAGTTGCTACCTCCTCATATCCTACTGCCTGCCATAGAAACAGGGGAGCATTAGTTGGCTGCAGCATACGTTTGAAAATGAGGAACTCTCACGTAAGTACCAATGAATAATCTAAAACGGGTTCACATAGAATACCCACTGATGCACCCTTTCCTTCAGCTCCTAGATCCTTGGTGGCTGTCAAACTTATTCTATATTGGCTTTCAGTTCACAGTGTTTCATCTTTCTCTGATTACCACCTATCTATCCTAGGAAACTGCTTGAGCAGACTGAGGAATAGTACTATTGCAGAGGGACACCAAAGTTTTGGTAATTCCCTAGGGAAAGTCACTAGCTCTCCTGTCTAACCATTCCTCTTACAGAGGCTGGATGTCTCTCTCCGTTTCTATTCAGATTCACTCATTTTCCCTAGAACTCTGTCAACACTGGTGATAACAAAATCTAGAATAAAGACCAGCAGCTGCTAGTTTTCTTTCTAGAAAAGGGGAATGAATTGTAGCAATGACAGCATGGAGAACAGAGATAGCAACAGGATACCTCTTGAGTTCAGATCCAGGCAGGTCACTTCACCCATCTCTGCCTCAGTTTCTTCAGCTGTAAAATGGAGATAGTAATAGCACCTATCTCCCAGGGTGGTTGTGAAAATGAAATGAGATACTGTTTGTAAAGTTCTAAACATAGTGCCCAGCAAATAGTAGGTGCTTAATAAATACTTGTTTCCTTTCCTTCCCTCATCCCACCATAAAACTAAGACACATCCTCCCATAAATACACACAGAATTGGTGTGCTCACACAAAGACCTGTAGTTAAGCATATAGGGATAACCAAAGAAACTGACTTCTGGCCCTGCAGGGCCCCTAGTGTCCTTATGGTTGTCCTTGTACTGTTCCTCTCTAGGCATGGTGTCTGCTGGGCCGGTCACTCAGCTGGGGTTTCTCTTCTCTGCACTTAAATTCTCAATTCTCAGGACTGACTCCGTCTCAACTCCACAGATGGACTCTGTGGGCCTTTTCTTTGGAGACTGTTGATCAAGTTGCTCTGCCACAAGATGACATTGATGATGGGGCAATGAGTGAAGAAAGAAATCCCTTCCCTAAAGGCTACAACTTCCTCAAAAGCCAGGTTCTCTCTTCTTCAAAAGCCAGATTCTTCTCTCATCTTCTGTCTTCTGAACTGCTCAGACTGAATCTCACAACTGAAACATCAGCCAGGTCCCTAAAGGCTACAACTTCCTCAAAAGCCAGGTTCTCTCTTCTTCAAAAGCCAGATTCTTCTCTCATCTTCTGTCTTCTGAACTGCTCAGACTGAATCTCACAACTGAAACATCAGCCAGGTCTCAAATCATTCCTTAGAAAGTATGCCTTAAGGGCAGCTAGGTGGTGCAGTGGATAGAGCACCAGCTCTGAAGTTGGAGGACCTGAGTTCAAATCTGGTCTCGACCAAAGACTTGACACTTACTAGCTGTGTGACCCTGGGCAAGTCACTTAACCCCAATTACCTGAAAAAAAAAAGTATGCCTTGCTTTTTAAATGCTGCCAGGGTCCTGGCTGATCATGTAGCCAGCCAGTGAGTCTTATGATTCCATCAAAAAGTTGCTTAAAGAACTCACTTGCCCTAAAGGAATAATAAAGTACAGACACTTCCCCTTCCCTTTAAGACCTTAACACCACCTTGTCTCAGTTGCTGACAAAATAGAGTGATGACTAGTTACAAAATGGAGTTAGTTTGGTGTGGGAATCGAGAGAATCAATTAAATTCTATCTTGTGACCACCAATGCCATCTTATGCTGTCACATGTATTATCCTCCATATTGTTGTTCACAAGTCATCCATGGAAAACTAAATGGTATATGCCATCTATTGTTTCATGAATGCAAGTGGATGCAATTAATCAGCATCTCTCAATTCTGGGAAAAGAAAGACCCTTAAAGCCACTCTCAACTCCCCGGATCCCTCTAATCTTTCCCCCAATTAGAAATCAGATTACATAATTTTGATTTCTGTTGTTTTAATTAATTGCTCTTATTTGATTATTTTAAATACATAAAAATCTGTCTATCAGATCTTTGGACTCACTGGAGAGTCCATTGACCCATTTGCTATGTCTGTTTTGCCAATAAATCATATAGCTGACATTGTTTCCTGAGTTATTATTAATTATCCACCACACTACTTGAGGCCTTTATATCCTTCTTGGGTGTTGGAAGAACTCAACTGATGAAGGATCCCCTAAGCAACTGGCTACAACTGAAAACATGTTCTTCATGCAGCTCCTCTTTTCCAGGAAGAAGTATGTTGTATCATCAATCTTTGGAAGTCCACATTGCCCCAGGCTATAAAGTCTTTGTATTGATATCATCATTGTGTAAACTGTCCTTCTGCTCACTTCATTCTTCCTTCCAGATCCTTAGTGGCTCTAAAACTTATTCTATTATCTACTGGCTTTTGATTCACTTTAGATTATTTATCTTTCTCCGATTATCACCTCTCATGTGAATCTGCTTGAGTTAACTAGCTAAGCTCATCATACAAATCTTAGCTTTGGATTTCTGTCCAAGATGGCTGCCTGAATCAGAGTCAGTCAGCCCAGTTTCTACAGACCTACTCCAGCAAAACTATGAAGTTCACACCAGATCAAAAGGATCAAAAAATACAGTGAAAAACTACAGTGAGTTCTTCCGTTAAAAAGGTCAACCAGAAGCCCAAGGACCTTGAATTCACCAGCAAAGCCAGTACCATTATTGACAAGAGACAGGACAGGGACATATGTAGCATGCAAGGCTCTATGTCCTGATATAGCAAAAGCTGAAGATTCTTCTGAGAAAGCTCCCTGTTAGGGACCTTGGAGGTATTTGAGAGCAGTTATCAGCACAGTGAGCAATGACTGCCAGGGCTGAAAGACCAGGACAGCCCAGGTCCAGGGACTATAAAGACCTGAAATGCCAGTGAGGACCCTTAAGATCCCATATTCTGAACCCCCAAAATTGGAAGAGAGGTGTCAAAAGCTAGGGAGGTAGAAGTCAGCACGAGTCTAGATGATCCAGGTTCATCACCTTCCCTCAAAAGTGCGTCATGGCGTAGCACCTGGCCCTGGCACAAAGCTCCAATTCGTAAACTAAAGTAGGAGAGATAAGTAAATCAAAGAAAATACTGACCAGTATCAAAAAAAAAAAATTGCCAATCTAGAATCTCCCAAAAGGAGTCAGCAATGTTGTAACAATCACAATCATTCTCAAAGGAAAATGGGGATTTTCCACAAAGACTTGTTAGTAATGAGAACAAACCTCAAAATCTTTAATAGTTTTAGAAGAAAAATTATTTGCTAGAAGAGGAAAGCTGGAAGAAGCCTTCCTCTTTAGTATCTTTGAGGTTTACTTTAAATAGGGTTTCAGAGAAGAGTAACTGCACACAAGCTATTTTGTAGGGGAGGCAGTTCTAAGCAAGGTCCATTAAGATGTATATTAACAAGCATGAACATTCAAATTTGGAGAACCCAAAACACAGACATTGGGCAGGACGCAAAGAGGTAGGCAGGATTGAAGCATTCCCTACAGCCAGCTGGCTTCCCTGGAGGTCTCTGAGGTCAGCCTGACCTCTATAGTAAGCTTTTGGGTTAGACAATGTCCAGCCACATCAAACTTAATTCAAATGATATTAATAAATAAGTTTTTCTGAACAAAATAAAGCATTTCCCTATAGATTATACCTAAAAGAATGCCTAGAAGAAGTGAGTAAATGAATGAAGCCTTTATTAAGAGTTTATTATGTGCTAAGCTCTGGGAATACAAATAAAAAAATAAGCAGTCCTTGTCCTCAAGGAGCTCACATTCTAATGGTGGGAGATAACACATATGGAAGGGTTCAGCTGCAAGTCAGATGGAAAAGTACCATGATCCTTAGGTCCAGTAGAAAAGCAGACGCCTCTTCTTTAATGTCATTTCCACTAATAAAATCCTATCAGTTCCTGACATTGAACCATTTGACAATGGTGACTTTGGTAACAAGAGCTTTCTTCTTTCGATCGTCAAAAGATGTGGCTGTAGCACCTGCAAGACCAGTTACTGAGCTGTATTTCCAGAGGGATTCCTCTCCAGGATGCTGGTTTGGCACACTGGGTTGGAAGCTCCTCAAAATTTTGGATTCAGGGTCTGGGGCTGTCTCTTTCAAGGTCTGAGAGGAGATGGAGGTCAAATGGTGGGAGTGAATTGACTTACCTGGCACATGCTGCCTTCTGTCTCTTCCTCGGGGTGTCCTGATGCTTAATCTAGGCTGTCTTGCCTGCTCTGAGGGTGGCAGTTGATTGGCTATTGATGGGGATGGCTGGCTCCTTCTCCCCACAAGCCACCTCCCCACATGATGACTATAAGTACTGGGACAGAAGTAGAATTGGTGATCTGGGAGGTGCTACTACTCTGAGGACTCCTATGTTTACAAATGGAGTATGTGAGAAGATTATGCAAACATGGAGGAAGGGGCAGGGGAGTAGACATCAGATGTATCTTGCTTTTATCTGAAAAAAGTTGAAAACACACACACATACATACTCACACAAAGTTTGGTTTAGATTTCTCCACTGGGGCGGGGCAGTTTGGTGGCACAGTGGATAGAGCCCTGGCCCTGAGTTCAAATTCAGCCTCAGACCAAACACTTGACACTTACTAGCTGTGTGACCTTGGGCAAGTCACTTAACCCCAATTGCCTTTAAAAAAAAAAGATTTCTCCACAGGGAAGCAGTGGGGATATGAAAGAGAATGTTGAGAGACAAAAATAATAAGGGAGTAATTACAAGTGTGAAATGTGTGTGTTTGTGTGTGTGTGTGATCACTTGGCTTATGTGAGTCCACATGTGTCCTTATAAATATGGCTCAGATAGATCTCTAGAATCTTCTCTGCCTACCCTTTTCCAAAAGAAACTTTAATTCATGACAGGAGGGGAGCAGGAGATGGAGAGCACCAGGCTGGCCAATCTGCTCTTGTCAGTGGGGGAGAGAGTACTAAGCTAAAATTACATCGATCTGCCCCTGTAAATATTGTTATTTTAGGGGAAATAAGTTTAAGGTTCAAGCCACTCTCCTGACTGCTGCTCCTTAACAGTAAAGAGATGCTCCAAGGTATATATCTAAAGGCTTGACTCCCTTCCCATCAAATGTCAGGCATATAAAAGTCATCACGTAATATAATCACATAAATAATAGCAAATAGGCCCATTTATCCAAGCTGATAACAAAGAGAAATCAGAGAAGTTATATGGATTAGAATATACTAGATAATATACAGAGTGAATGAGCTGTCCCACTAGGTGCAAGATATCTAACTAAACTCAACCAGAAGAGATAGTATCCCAGATTTTACCCAAAGAGACATTGCCTGAAGTCTCTAGTGTACTAAACTGGGAGGGTAGGAACATTATTGAGGTTCCTCAACAGGTCAGCTTCCTCCCAGAGTCTTTTTCTCCCTTTAGGGACCTTTAGCTGAAGAAAAATCTGTAATTGAGTGTCTTTTTTCTTTTTTTTGGCTAAGCAATGGGGTTAAGTGACTTGCCCAGGGTCACACAGCTAGTAAGTGTTACTCCTCTCAGGTCCTCCTGACTCCAGGACCAGTGCTTTATCCACTGCGCCACCTAGCTGCCACTTGAGTGTCTCTTCTGTAGAAGGTGAAGGCCCAAAGAATTTATATAGTGCCTACAATGTACTATCCTTACAACAACCCTGAGAGATAGGTGCTATTATTCCCATTTCACAGTTAAGGAAACCAGAAGTTAAATGATATATTCAAGGTCACACAGCTAGTAAGTGTCTGAGATCTAGGCCCAGCACTGTATGCACTATGTTTTTCCTGTCCAAGCTCTTCCCCCCTCAACACCCTGCACCCCCACTGCAGGCATGGATCAT